TGTGTGTGTGTGTGTGTGTGTGTGTGTGTGTGTGTGTGTGTGTGTGTTTGTATGGAGATTTGGCTATGGAGGAGTGGATACGTAGAAAGCCTACATGAAAAGCTGAGTGTGTGGATTTGACTGGAGGACTAGAAGGACGTGAGGTATAACCATGAGTGTACTGGTGAGGTTTCATCTGTTCTTGAGGGAACAAAATGAACAACCTGCTACAGAGCCAAGCACACATGTGTGCATGTATGTGTGCTTGTGTGTCTCTGAATTTTGATTGTAAGTTAGTGCACATCTAGCATGATTTAAGTCCAGTGTGCAGGTGGAGCAAAGGCAGTGACAGAAGGAACAGCAGGCGTGACATGACACCCACCCTGTGTTCTGTCTTTCTCTAAGTCTCTCTCTCTCTCTCTTTTTGTGTGTGTGTGTGTGTGTGTGTGTGAGAGAGAGAGAGAGAGAGAGAGAGAGAGAGAGAGAGAGAGAGTAGGGTTTACATATAAGGTAGGTGCCAGCTATCAAACACCATCCTTATGTATATGGGTGTAATTGGATATAGGGGAGGAAACTCTTAGCAGGACAGGACACCTTGCCATGCATGTGTATTTGAAGTTTTCCTCTAGCAGAGGTGTTTCTGAGGAGGACCTGACACATAGTCATGTACATGAGACTCTATTAGGAGGTATACCTAGCAGACACTAACACTGACTGTACATCAGGGGACTTCATGTTAACGGAGGAAATCAAAGAACAGGATGCCTAGTCCTATGTGTATCTGTTTATATGTAGGGTATTTGACTATACTTAAGGGAGACCCTGACAGGACCTAACACGCAATCCCCATTGGAGGGGGCTAACTGTAGGTGGGGGATTCGTAGGGAAACCTGATATCTAGTTGTGTAAGAAGAATGTTGGCTGTCAGGTAGGGTTTACCTAGGAGGATCTGAAACCTTGCCCTGTGTCTTTGGCATTGTAGTGGTATGGTTTCCAAGAGACAAGAAGAATAAGAATGTGTATCAGTGGGGAGCAGTACAAGGGAATGTCTAGCAGCACCCCATACCTGGTAAACATATGTTTCCCTGATGGGGTGAATAAATGTTCATCCAGGCCTGTTAATATACTAGATTGGAACTGGATGGTCTGATATCCAGGGGTACCACAAGAGATATATACCTAGAAATATATTTGAGGCTACTGCAGGGTGATGTGTGAGTTTCAAGGGCCTTCGGCTACCTTTATAGCAGTTATTATGGCCTGAGTGTTTGGATATCAAGGTTTGATATCTTAAAATTTATATGAGTTGATGTCATAAGATATCACAGGGCCTGATAATTAACACTGGAGAATGTCACTTGTGTGGAATGATGGTTTCCTGTGGGTACCAAATAAGAGCAGTGTGTTTTGGGCAGAGTGGGAGATCATCGGCCATGGCCTGGTAACTAGCACTTAGTGGGGTTAAGTGAGTGTCATTCAAGGTCCATGCCTTGGTATAAATATGAGGTGTGGAGACTCTATTGCTCAGCAGGACCTGATACCTAGCAGCTAGTATGGGGTTGAATGGGAGCTTCTTCATGGACCAATATTTAGGAATGTATTTGAGGTTGTGTGTGAGGAGGGGGGTGTTCAGCAGGGTCTGACAGCGGGCAGAGCTCCCTTCATGAGAGATCGGGTCAGAAAGAGAAACACATTCATTACTCAAGGCCCTTCTGAGATCCTTTCTTAGCCTGCTCACACAGGGTTTCTGGGTTATCTGAGAGGACAAAGAGGCACAGGTCACTTTGCACTATCAAAATGCAGAGGGGTCTAAGTTGG